TTAATGAAAACAGAGCCTTGACAGCAACAACGTGGCTCCTGCTCTAGTAAAAAATATCAGCTGGGGTAGTGCGAGATTTTTAGCCGTGACTTCCTGTTGCTGCTCTCTTTGTACCGCACTGGAGAGATCCGCTGCAAGTTCAGAGTGCTGATCGGCTATTTAAATGAGCTCATTTAAATGAGAAGTTGTACTATGCTGGGTTTCCTGCTTAACCCAAACCTGCTTTGTGTCACTAACTCACTGTGTCAATTAATGTGGCACACTAAGCCAGCGGGTCAAAGGGCGGGCTCTGCTGTTGACTCATTTCTTGCTAGGTAGGTTACAGTTAGTCAGATGGCAACTTTTACTTTAGCAAAAGATCATGCTTGCAAAATAGAGAAACGTGTTTATGCTGCTGGCTTTCAGACAGTGCTTTGTCATTTGGGGTGGGACGCGTGAGAAAGAGCCACACTTCTAGAAGTTTTGTTGTCAAGTCAGTTTTCTCAAATTCAGAGAGGGTCCTGTGGAGTCTTTTAGCTGTGTGTTAGGTCTCAAATAGGTTACTTCAGATGGGAGGATGTGTGCCTGGAGGACTTTTTGTTATGCCACTTAAATGTGGCTCGTAAACCATTAGACCCCTAACTTTCTCGTAGGAATAGTTCTTTGGCTTCTCTTCCCTCTTATTTCCAGCCCTCACTGTTTGCCTCTCCTTGTTTTCCAAGGTCCTGTCTTGCTGCCTATTATATTTAAAAACAAACAAAAAACCCAACCCACTGTAGTGCTGCAACACTTTCTGGTTTCTGACAAACGAGAACAGCGTGCTTGAAAACATTATCTGAACAGTGTAGGCTAGTTTTAGCTAGTTTTTAAATGCAATTTAAAAGGAATGAGCTGCTTTGCAGGGCCGTCATGTTGTGTTGTCTGCAAGATCTTTGTTCCAAGAAGTGCTCCTCATGGCTCCAGGAGCCTGTTGTGCAAGGCATGTACTCAGGTTAGGTGGCAAGTGTAACAGCATTTTCTGTGAAGCTGTGACAAACGAGAAGCCATTTGCTCAGAATCATTTTAAAGCAAAGTTGACATACTTTCTACATCAATTAACAACCTGTTTACATAATTTGGGAGTTTATATTGTGTTGGCTATTTAAATATTGTCCTATTGTTCCTGTTCCATGACTTGGATAATTTATGTAGCTAATCATCACAGAAGAAATTTGGTATGTCAGTTTGGTGTTTGTCGGTTACATAAATCAGCAATTGGGAGGATGAAAACAATGCTAAGTAAGTTACTGAAGAAACACAAGACAAATTGCAGATTGATCATCCTGCTGGGAATGCTTGCGTGACAAAAATACGCATTGAAATTTGGACAACTTAAACTAAATTGAAAGATGTTGGAGCTATTCATAAATAGGAGAAGGAAAGAATAATTTACTGTGTCAGCTTTGACTGAAGTTTGAAAGTGGGGGGGAAAGGTCCACTGTTGTGTCTCCCCCCACTGCCCCAAGTATTAAAGGAAACTTGCACACATGCATCTTCTTTCTTTTCTGTGTTGTGGGGTTTGTTCGTTTACATGACATTAACTCCTTCTGTTTATGGTTATAGCTTTTATATAATTTTATATTTTTAAGGGCACACTTCTTGTATTTTACAACTGACTTTGCTTCCTTAAACAGATTTTTGAGTTATGAGTTGGTTTTGAGTTATGAGTAGTTGCCCATATAATTTTTTTTTTACTTTTGACATTTAACTTTTTTTTAATATTCAGGTTTTTAGCTTTGATGCTATGAATGAGCAAGTTTTCCCTCACATATTCAAGTTTGAAACACAGAAAGATTAAGGGCCTGTTTTCTGTAGTTTCTAACAAATGCTTCTGAAAGCCGGTATAACTTCACTTGAAATCAGTTTTAAATATTGGGAAAATGGGTGGTATCTTATTTTGATTTATATACATAGTTTGTGAGATTCTTAAAATTTATGGTGGACTTAACCTGGTGAGTAAAGCATGGTTTTCTTTGTATTTTACAGTACTATTTGTTTCCATCCTACCAAAGGAGTAGAATTGTAGTCTTCCTAACCATTGCATACTTGTTTGTTTGTTTAGTTTTATTCACATACCATAGCCTCATGTTTCTACTAGTGTAGTGTATGTATAAAGGGATAATCATATTTTGAAGTCTGTTCCCTCTTTTGTGTTGAAGGAAGAAGGTATGCAGATAACTTGTAAATCTGGAGCCTTTGTAGTAAGTGTAGTACAGAACACACATTTCCACAGATGAAAATAAGGGATGAAAACCATGAAGTTGAATAAATAATCAGGATGCAAAGTGGTACATTTAAAACAAACAAACCAACCCACCCAAACTTTAAATGATTGTGGTTCTTTGATAAAGAAGTGCAATTAAGTTTAAGAAGTCCATCTCCTGATAAACTGGTGGACTCTTAAATGATTTAGGCTTGGTTCTTTCCTTTCCTGCACTTTTTTTCCTTCTCAAGTGAAAATCCATGTAGGGGGCATACACAATGTTTTCCTTTCTTCTTTTCTTGTTCCATTAGTTTTTATTAGTAGATCTGGAATGAGCTATTAATTTATAAAATCTACAAACTTTCTCTCCCAGGTAGGAAGCATCAGCGTATTAGGAAGTAATTATATAGTCTATTGCTTGAGTTGGGTGTTTTTGAGTTCTTGCTTATTGACCTTTTGTCCATATGTTATGCTTGAAGGAAAGTGTTGGATGCATACCATAAGCAAGCAAATTTGAACAATATTGGCATTAGATAGAAGCTATCTGATAAGATGCAGCACATAAAAGGTTGTCAGGGGAACAAGAAAATGAGAGTTTGTGAAGAAGAATTCCCCTTGGAACAGATCATTGGTGCTACTTCGTGTTCAGCTGACAGAAAAGCTACAGCTTGACAAGCTAATGCTGCAGGACCAATCTCCTATATAGAAGGCTATACCATGATTCATAGGAAGGACAGTTAATGTAATAAAAGGTGTCTGAACCGTAGAATGCTGGAGTCGAGTTGTTTACAGATTTAGGAGGCTGATTGTTCTTGTCTTCTTATAATTGTAGGTGTAGTAGCATTATCGGGCAGTGAAACAGAGGATGATGACACTATGGATGTCCCACTGGATCTTTCCTCATCTGCTGGCTCAGGCAAACGGAGGAGACGCGGCAACCTGCCCAAGGAATCTGTGCAGATTCTCCGGGACTGGCTATACGAGCACCGATACAACGCTTATCCTTCAGAGCAAGAAAAGGCGCTATTATCCCGACAAACACACCTTTCCACACTACAGGTATTAAAAAACGTAGTTCTTGCTTCAAAAGGATCCCTCTTCTGCTTTCTTCTTAATTTACTTGTGGTCTAGTTGCTGATAATGTTTACACTGTATGTGAGATTTCCTTTATTGTTACTCTCCTACTGACAGCACTTGTAAGGAGAAATGCAAATTAACTTGTGTTATGATATCTTTGTTTATTGGGAATAAAATGACTTCTCTGGGAGAACAAACAGTCATGAATTCAAGCATGCATGCTAATTTTTGTGGAATTGGGGCCCAAAAGACATAAAGTGTCTGTATAATGTAATTTATTGCAAGAAGAAAGTATTTACATGTCAACAGAGGTTTTATGGTCATAGATGCACAGCTTAATGTATGACTCTTCACTTCTAAAACTGCAACTTGAGGCTTATTCCTGTAGAACATGCACATATATAATTATGTCTGTGATCACTTCCATTACGATCAGTGGAACAACCTATATGGGACAGAGCTACTCAAGTGTGTTTATGACCAGGTTTTTGTGTGGTTAGTTTGGATTTTCATCCCAGGATGCTGTTGGCAGCTGCGAGGTCCCTTGGATGCGTCACTCTCATCTTCTGTGACCATCTGTGGTGGAATAGCTGTTGACAGTTGCTGCTTTCTACCTTGTGGCAAGGTGGCTGCATGAGAACTTTCCCAAACCCTGGCTTGGTTTTGAGAGGTGCTAAATATAGAGTGCTCCTGTTGACTTCTGGTCTTTATTTTTCCAGATTAATTCGTTAATACAAATTTTGTAATTGGCTATAGAGGTCCCTTAATGTAACATCATAAAGAAAACCTCCTTTATGTAGTAAACAGAAAAAAGACGTTAAACTGTAAACTATCCTGTATCGCCCAGGAAACTGGCTTGATATTTAAACAAGGACAAACTTAAATGAGGTAATTCATGTTATGTCTGTCGACACAGTCAGTTGAACAAGGAAAATCAGTAACTATTTGTGGGAGGAGTGGCTCTCCTCAGAGTGAAAAGGTTTTCCTGTTGTTAATTAACCTCAGCATAGGGAACAATAGCTAATAGGTTAATGTGTGTGCACAGAGTTAAAAGCTAAACCCCTCCGCTTGGGCTAGCAGTCTTCAGATGTCCCGGGGCTTTCTATAACAGGAGTGGGGATCTGGGACAAGGGAAGGGCCTTTGCCAGGCATGTCGGAACATGTCAGTAGGTCTCTCTTTTGTTCTGCAGTTAAGGAAACTGCTTGGAGGGATTCATTAATCTAACCCAACGACTCTAATGGCACATAGTTGGAAATGAATGAAGGTAGAAATTAAGATGTCATTATATTCCCAGGTCTGCAACTGGTTTATCAATGCACGCCGCAGGCTTTTACCTGACATGCTGAGGAAGGATGGCAAAGACCCAAATCAATTCACTATCTCGCGGCGAGGGACCAAGCTTTCCGAGGGCAGCCTGGTGGAGTCTTCCATCAGCACAAAGAACTTCATTCCCCTGCTGGAGGAGTCAGCCTTCCTCCCCACCGCTGCACCGCTCGGCAAAACTCTGTCATCTTCCAAGCCGGCTTCCCCAGGATCAGTCCTGGCTCGGCCGTCAGTGATTTGCCACACGACTGTGACTGCATTGAAAGATGCCCCTTTCCACTTTTGCCCGCCAGCTGATGTAGGCCAGATCACGGACCTACAGCAGCCTCCGGCCAACGGCTTCACAGACAACTCCCTCTCCTACCACGAGGACGCGTCTAAACTGGGACCCGGTACAAATGCACAAAGTGGGCTCTTTAACACTCCTCCTCCAACCCCACCAGACCTTAACCAGGATTTTAGTGGATTTCAGCTACTGGTGGATGTTGCACTCAAAAGGGCGGCAGAGATGGAGTTGCAGGCGAAACTTATGGCCTAAATCCCCTTCCTTCTCCTTCCCCGTTTTGTTTTTCCAGGCAGGGATGTAACAGCTGTGTGGTTCTTGCCACCCACAAGATATCAAAAGACTTCACTGCATTATTATTATTTTTTTAATTAATCTTATTTGCACAAGGGATTGCTGAAATGAAGCTTCCTGTCACTGAGATGGTCTTCAGTGGAATACGGTCATTCCAAGAATTATAAACTTAAAGCTACTGTAGAAAGAAAGAATTGTATGTTGGTTTTTTTTAATGTTTTCTTTGTAGGTTTTTCATAATGTGAGATGGTTCCCAAGATCATGTGATTTGTTTTTGTTTCTTTCAGACTGTGCAATATCTAGTAATGATATAGACTCTTCGTATCATTCCCATGTGGAACAGAATATACCGACACGCTGTCTAAAATAAATTTTCCATTTTTTTTAACAATACCAACTTTGGATGATTATGCTTTTTTCCCATAATGTAATAAAATATTTTCTTTAAAAATGGATGCATACAGAGTATTTTGTTGAATATGAGCTTTGCAGGAAACAGCTTTACTCTTGAAATAAATGGAAGTGAGAAATATTTTTGAGCTCATGCTGACTCTGTTTGGTTTAAAGAGCTATGCTAGCAGTTGCTGTTAAACAGATGTTTGAAGGAATGCTGAAAAGTGGGCCAGAAGTACCTGATTGTGTTTTGCTATGTTGAAATTTTGTAAAGGGGCCAATGGAAGCTGTGTAAGCAACTCATTAAATTTCAGGGGGTATCTTAGGCCCCTTTAAGAGTTACAGCTTTTGGCTCCTAGAAATACTTCAGGGCTGGGAGATGTGACAACCCATGAGGAAGTTCTGAAGGTGAAATGAGGAGGAAAGAAGGAGGGGTTGGGGTGAGTGTTCTTTGCAGGTCTCTGTGGTACAACTCCTAGACATCACTGGTGAAGACAGATTTTGAGGGGGAAGATCAAGGGCTCCCACTCTTATTCTTCCTGAACTAGCAGTGACAAGGTTTTGATTCAGTAATTCTAGTACAATGAAATGGGAGATTCTGTGTTAGGTTGAAATCTGAGTTCTGGGAGCCAGGTCTTAGTGAGGTACTTAAACAGGTGGTTGACTAAGATTTAGAAGAGATCCCTGTTGTATTGGGGTGTATTCTGGCCAACAGAATCTAAGTCACCTTACAGTAAAGGACTTTGCTATCAAAATGACTTACTGCTGAAAAATGTGAAGACTTGGAGCGCACATTTCAACTGACTTGAATGTCAGTCACTCACCCTTCTCCTTCCAACAACAGTGAAATAAGAGACCTAGAGGCAAAAATCGGTTCCAGTTAATCCTTAGAAACAAACCAGTTGACTAGGAGGTTGGGGGAGGGCTTTGTGGAGCAGTAGAGCTGATAAATTTAATAGTATCATTATGAGTAGAAAACTGCAATATTCATATTGTGATGCACATGCATTTTTTTTTTGCTGTGACCTTATTTTAATGTCAGAAATACTCTATTTGTTTTCTGGTATTTTCTTTGGTGTTCTATTGAACTTTTGCCTTTCTTTAACTTTCAAGTTTAAAATCAAGTATTATATTTTTTAAAAAGCTAATAGTAAACAGTGTGACTTACTCATGTCTGCATCAGCTTCTGTAACACAGAGTCATTCTAATGTATTGTATAAATAGAGAATTTTTTTTCTAAAATACTTTCTATTGGAATCAAGCTAGATTCTAAAGAATAATTTTGAACATAGCCAGGGATGGCTGTATACTTTGTCTTCAAGGAACAGCACATGTGAATCCAGAAAGAACCTTGTGTTTTGGACACACTGTAATTTATACTTCTAGGCTGTTTTTCCTGGGATACCTATCTATGTTTTTTTCAGTTGTTTGTTTGGGTTTTTTGGTTTTTTTTTTAATAAAATGGAAGTACACTTCTGTGTAACTGTGAGGTCAATGTTGAGGAACAAGTTGGTCAATAGACATCCTTTTGTGGCATAGATGATTGTTCTCAAAGGGTGCTAGATACCCAAAGAGGAGTGTTATCTTTGGTAAAGGATTGGAAAATGCTTCCTTGTCCACATTCAGGAAGAAACCTTATTGCAACACTCCTTATGCTCATGCCTCAACCACTGATGAAAAAATATCCTCAGGCAAATATGTTTGGATTGTTCGATTTTGAGTTGTTTGACTTTTTCCTTTTTTTATTCTTTCTTTTTTCTTTAAATTGGGTTGCTGGTGTGCTTTGGGGTAGAGAAAAAGTGGGGGACTCAGATTATTAAAGGGCATTCTCAGAAATCTTTGCTCTTCATTACTCTGCCCTTTAAAATAAAAAAAAAGTCAGCAAGTTTAGGAAAAAAAATTCGTGCTTTGCTTGCTGAGCTGACCAGTTCTGTAATTCCACTAGAACAGCTGCAGTAGTGAAAATGAGAATAGGATGAGGAAGAAAGCTGTTGCCATTCAGTTTAAAAGTTTTCATTGAAAGTAAAAGCCTGTGGTCTCTGTGCTGTTTTCATTTACCATTATGCCTCACAAAATGGCATTAGTGTAACTGAGCACCAAAGTCCTGCCTGTGTGATGAGCACTGCATTTCCATTTTGCTGACTGACTTTACCCTGAGGACTTCACTTGTGACCAGTTTTGCTAAAGGCCAGTTTTTTTTTTTAATTATTACTTGTGTTAAAGTTACACCTAGAAGTTCAACTGTAGTCATAAGCCAAACCCCTTTGCCTGAGTAGCACCTGGCACACCATGTAAAAGCTTTTTCCCTGCCCTGAGGTGATTTAACTTGGAGGAAGAAAATGACTCATATTGAGTACCCACTGAAATAAAATCAAAAAGGAGTTTCTGCTGCCCTGCAATCTAGCACTGAAAGTTTTGGTGCAGGCTAGCAAGTTTGCCTGAACCTATTCTTTCAAAGCAGAAACTTGAAGTAACTCTAAGTAAAATTATAGGTAAGTAGATGTAGGGCATCAGTTGAAGCTAGGATTCAGAACTGAGCAGAGGTTCTAGTAACAAACCAAAGGCTTCATGTGCTCTGGGTGTCAATCCCTGGTAGAGCAAAGGAAAAGTTTGTGTCTGGAAACTTGTTTTACTGTGGAGTAAGAAAGAAAGAAAAAAGAAAAAAAAAAAGGCAGTAGAAAGAAACAGTGAGACAACACAGGAGGTTTTGCTGCTGTTGGAGCAGCAATAAACCTAATTGCAAGGCAGCTGTGTCAAAATCCAACCTCTGACTGAAAGCACACACTTGGGCTGGCTCTGAAGATGAAGGGAAGGCATTGCTGAGCATTACTGGAGACCATGCACCCAGCCAGGGTGTAAGTGAGCTAAGAGGTATGACAAATCTGTGCCAGGGAAAACAGCTCACGCGCAGACTTCGTCAACCTTGTTTTCATGGCTTTTGCGTCTTGTAAACAAGTTGTGGCAGCTGCATGTGATAAATCTCTGTGCAGAGCAAAAATAATTACAATAGGGAGGGAAGCTTGAGACTGGCGTCGCCGCCTGCGTGCGTGGGGGGGGTGATGTCTCGCAGCCTGTTTAAAGGGGGAGTTGTGGTATCCCACACGTCTCCTGGCTTCTGCCATGAGGTCAATGTACACGTCTATAAAACCGTTGAAGCTGTAACAGCTGGCCTCATGTACTATGGGGGAGGGAAGGGGCACAGGGAGAGCATGGAGCTGGGATAGCTTACTTTGGGAGGGCAGTGCAGATGCTCTGCAAGCTCCTGGGCTGTGCTGGCCATGCTGCCAGAGGGGTGCTGCTGCCCAGGCAGAGGGGTGCAGGCAAAAACCTCACTGGAAAACGGGGGGTAGGAGAAAGTAAGGAGAAACCAGGGAGAGAAAGTGTGGGTGGTGGGGAACGATTTTCCCCTTGCAGAGGAGGGAAAGCTGCAGCGGGAAGCCCAGCCAGCAGAAGGTGCAGTGCAGCTGGAACCCTAGGTGCACCATGACCCCGTTAAGAGTTACTTTTATACCTGTGGTATTTAGGCCATTTGCAGTTAACTGTGTGCTGCCTGTCAAAGTCTGTTTTCATTCGTTGTTTTTCTCACAGAGCTCAGGCAGTTTTATTGTTAGTGCTTAAAACCTATTCCTGGAGTACTTTGTAGCTCTTTTAAAGCTCATTTGGGTTTTCTTTTTTTATTCCTCTTCTTGGCATCTTGCAGTTGTCAGCTTCCCTCCTGGCTTTTGCCAAATAGGGATTACGGGCAAGAAGACAGCTCATGTTCACTTTTCAGAACGTTACTTGTTTTAAGTCTCTTGTTCACCAACTGACGGCGTTGTTACGTCTCTATCCTGTTTCGCTGGTTCAGCGGGCTCTTCTCTCTGAGTTTCAGTGTTCAGACTGAAGGAGAAGAGATTAGATTAGTCACTCTCTCTAGCAAAACGTCACTTAAAGCTGTTGTTGTTCCAGACATAATAATTGCATTCACATGTGCTGTATGTGGTTCACTGTTTATTCGGGTGCCTGGAGTTCTGCACACACAGAGTGTCACATGAAGTGTTGCTAGTTATACTACAAAGTCAAAACTTTCTCCACCTAAATTCTGTATGTA